AGAGAGAGAGAGAGAGAGACAGAGAGAGAATACAAGAATGGTATTCCTCGACGCATGCAAGAGTGTATGTATATGCGAAGGAGAGCAGCGACGTCAACAACGCACCCCTATTAGCACACACACACACACACACACACAACCCGTAGACAACAGTCCATCAGGGAGTGTCCCGTGCCAACACCTACATACCAAAGGCGTGCTGCCGCATTATACATCCGTCATTGACACCACAGGAGGAAACCGACTTGAAGAAAAAAAGGGACGTGAGTGTGTCTACATTCCCCTCATCCACACACACACACGGCCACGGTTCTATAGGAGGAAGCATATTTCAAAGTCGCGCTCGCCGTTGCCGCAGTACACCTGGCCGCAGTCACTGGTGCCCGGGCTGTACCAGAAGAGCGAGNATATTTCAAAGTCGCGCTCGCCGTTGCCGCAGTACACCTGGCCGCAGTCACTGGTGCCCGGGCTGTACCAGAAGAGCGAGCCCTTGTAGAGGAGGTTCTGCACCGTTACGACGCTGGCGGTTGGGTCATACTTCACCACCCACACACCCTGCGGCTCGTCGTCGGTGATGGGCGACAGCACATCCGTCACGCCACTGTACGTCGGCCCGTACAGCACGCGGTTGCGCTGCGCGTCGCCGGCGTGGAACGCGCGCAGGTAGCACGACGGTTTCATCGCGTGGCGCACCGGCTGGCCGGCAAACAAGGTGTTCTTCGCGACGCCGCCGTTCGGTGTGAAGACGTACTGCCCGCGCACAATCAACGTGCACGCCGCGTCGTGCAGCTGAATGAAGTGCGCCAGCCGCACGGTCTCCGGCACCGCGACGATCATGAACTTCGGCCGCTTCTTTCGCGGCGGCGCCTCCTCCTGCTGCTCCTCCTCGTCCTCCTCCTCCTCCTCCTCCTCACGCTGCTGCTCCTCCTCTTCCTCCTCCTCTTCCACCTCCTCTTCCTGCTGCTCCTCCTCGGGGCCGCCGTACTTCTCCCGCGCGCTCGACAGCAACGTGTCAGCGCTCGGCGGCGCCACCTCCGGCTCCGGCTCCGGCGGGACGTCGCGCCGCACTTTGTAGAGGAACGCGGGGTCGCCCATGTAGACACCGCGCAGCTGGTCGCAGAATGCCACCTGGTCCTCTGTGAGTCCCTCCAGCACCTTCCACGACGTGCCACCATCAGTGCTGAAGAAGGAGAACCGCTTGCCAAACGGGCCGTCCGGCATCGCCTGTGCAACGAGGTAGTCGCTCTTGTACCCGAAAACTTTGCCCCAGAAGTGCACGGACATGTTGTGCTTCGCAGCGAGCATCGGGAGTGACGACTGCAACGCAGCACGCTCGGCGGTGCTGAGGGCGGAGCCAACAAAGGGCAGGCCGTCCGCGTTGTTGGCAACTGACACCATTTGCACGCACACGCACACACAAACGCAAGAGATCCGGTATCAACCAAAAAGGCACCAAGGAACCCCTCAAGCAGAAGTTGGGGCACGCTCAAATTACCCTCACGCACACTCTTTCACTCTCTCTCTCTCTCTCTCTCTCTATATATATATATATATATATATCTACGGCACCCTGCTCTGAAATAAGGCGTCAAGAGTCCCTACAAAGACAGAGTGTAAGAGAGAGAGAGAAAGAGAGAATCATAGCAAGATGGGATGAGGCAGCAATATGTAATACACGCACGGAAAGAGGAAGACAAACAAATAGCAAAGCAAAACAAAAACAAAAAAAACGGAAGTGTATACAAGTGTCTGTAATGCGGCCTAGCAATGAGCAAACATGTACACCCACGCCTGAGACCAAGTCCAAGCGGTAGCAATGCCTAAAACACCCGAAATATCACCTGCGCCCAAGCAAGACGCACCAACGTGCACGTCACCCACTGAGCCACACCTCAGCAGCATACGGCGGCATCCGATTCATCCGCTTTGTTGTTGTTTTTTTCTTTGGTTTGTTTGCATTCTGCAGGAGAGGATGAGCACAATACAACAAAAACAAAAACTCCGAGGACATCTAGCGACCTATTATGAAACTTTATCAATACCTATAATGCTTCGTGCCCCGCTCATATCGCTCCTGCCGCTTCAGTGGAGCAATGCGGATATCGTGGTTAGTGGCATACATGGCTCTCTCCGGGACCACGGCAGACACGCCAAGAACCTTGTGCCCAACCAGCGCACTCTCACCGAGGCACGCACGTCCATTCTCCTCCGCGCGCCGCGCCGCGGTGCTGATGACGACTCGGTTTCAACGCCAGGACTTTCTCGTTGTCTGCCCCCCACAACGACAGACATTTCTCCTTTGTTCATGCCATCTGATTCTCTTTCTTGTGCTCGACGGTAGTCTAAAAGATTCTTTAAATAAAGTCTCTAGTGAGAGCATACATACGAAAAAAAAGAAAGTGACGTCTTAGAGATTGAGGGACAAAGCACAACCAAACGGCAACCTGCCGCCTTTACGGTCACATACCACAGCAACAATGCGACCTTCCTTGGGGGATGGCTAAAGAACCAAGTCTTTCAAAAAGCCAGAAGCTCGTTACGAACAACGTCCACCGCCTGAAGGAATTCTTGAAGCAATTGCTGGTGTTCTGGCTGACCAGCACGCAACATAGGGTTTTCATACCAACGCGCCACCACCAACTCTCCCTCCCAGTGCGAAGTCACATAGCACAGCCCACTAAAGTGTAGAAGCCGACAGTTGCGGTTCATCACTGGGATGTCGGGAAAATATTGGTATGTGCAACTCGTAAGAAGACTAAGAAGTCGCCGACGAAACCGCGGTTCCTCCTCATTGCTGCTGGCCCGTACAGTGTACCTTGGCACAAAACAGTCACCCTTCACAGTTTGATTGTACGAAGGAATAGGCACAGCTCGAAGACGATACCGCGCGGCATTGGCAAGAAACGAACCAAGCCAATCCTTTACAATTGGCACCACGCACACTAACCACGACACCCGAACATAGTAGTGGCACCTTGGGTTGTATGTCTCCGGTAGTGTAATATCAACGGACATCATGCGATCCTTCGCGGGTGCGTCCAAAGAGAGAGTTGAGCCTGTCTTGTGGTCCAGCACACATTGTCGCTCAAGCGTCAGTGGGTTGTCATGAGAAAGTACAACGCGGCGAAGGGGCTGGATGTCTGGCCAATCCATTGTGTCTGGAATGTTGACACTCAGTTCAGAGTCGTCCTCCTTCCACACCATGAAGATACGCAGGTTGAGGTGCACACTAAAGCGATAGCCGATAAACTTCACAAACTCTGCAAAGGAAACCGGTGGTGCTGCGAAGACGTCTGGGAGCACAGCGATACAGGCTTCACCTTCATGCAGCGACCAATTCGGAGATCTCGGGATGAAGACACCAGGGTGTTGACGTTCGCGTATATAGGAGTCTAGTAATTCCCATGGAAATGCGAGTTTCTCACCAATCTGTATTTCCATACTCACATCCCGCACACCAAAACCGCCACCTATGTAGTTCAGAAGAAGGTAGGAGTGTTGAATCATGTGCGTCACGAGAGCATTGCTGTACATGCCACGGTGCAGCATACGCGTAACGGACATGCTTTGCCCCGTCTCTCCAATTTTTATCTCATGTATCTGATGGCCAATCGACATCTCAAGACGGGCGTTTTGCGTAGGCTCATCGCGTGGCCACCGCATTCCCGCTAATGATGGGTCAACCACGACAATCTGATACTGCTGATGTAAGCGCTGAAGGACATACTCGAGCAGCTGTGTGCTGTCGTGTATGGACACCGCATACTGGTGCGTTGGCACGACAAAGAAACTATCACGTGGGTAGGCGGACTTCATACCATAGAGTGGAAGAATCTTACAGTGACACAACGCCGCCCACGGTGACCGTCGCGTTGAAGAATATGAAGATGAAGAGGATGACAACTCCGGGTGGGCGAACTGCCACCGGCGACGCAGCAGAACTTCAGTACTGACATTGTGGGAAGTAGATGCCGCGACATCCGTTGCCAACACCGGGCGGTATGGGCTGATGGGTTTAATTGCAAACAGAATGCTGTTTCGCATCTGCACATGGGCGATCGTAGTTGAGGACGGTTGGGCATCACCGGTATCGACAAAACACGCTTGACGAAACCCCAAGACAACTTTCTCGGATGTCAAGAAGCTCACGTTACTACGCTGTGACACTAGAATCAGCGTCTGGCCCCCTTTCAGGATGGAACTGTATTCGCTGGAAAAGATTTCCGCCGCGTGGAAATGTGACACAAAGTACTCCTGCTCCTCCACCGAGAGCCGGTCATCCTCGCCGGAAAAGGCACCCATCAACATGGCCCATAATTCCGTGTTACTGAGAAGTTCCGGTGACCAGCGGGCATGGGGAAGGACCGCCGAGTCTATCCGCAGCTTAAGGATCATGTAACCACTCTGGAGATCGCCATCGAGGATGTTCATTCCACACGGAATGATACCAGCCGCAACGAGTGGTACGGCAACGTGTCCTGATTGTCCCTCCACGGTATCCTCCGAGCAGTGCCGAATAATATACTCATGCAAGCGGTCTCGGCCAAGCCTTGAATGGCGTCCCACATCGCCACCTTGAAGGCAGTACCACGCCGCGGCAACAAACGGTCGGCACGATTGTTGTTGTTGCTGTTGTTGTTGAACCCGATTCGTACGCCTTTTTATAACTTCATCGGAAAGGGTCGTGTCAAACCTCCACATCCCATCGAGTGAACCTCCCTTTACATGGTCCTCATGGCCGGTGCTTGCTGCAGAGACGCGTGGCGGCGGATACAGCATTGCACAAACATCAGAGGCGCGGCTGAAGAGTAGCGAGTAGCGTGTCCCTCCAACGGACCCCAGCTGACTCTGCAGAGTGGAGGGAAGCGTCGGTGAAGGGTGCGTATCGTCGTCTGACGCCGTTGCAGAAGTGGTAAAAACGTGGCCGACCTTCCGCGGCTCCATCACTGGGAGAACGACGCTGCTCAGCGGCACCACCGGCAGGCCGAGCCCGGGAACGAAACCGGTGCTGTTCGCCCGAAGTGCATGGTACCTCAACAGCCACTCCTCCTTTGTCAGAAGCTCAAACGCCAAGAGCCCGGTTGAAGTGACGTCTGGTGCAGGGTGGTAGAAGTAGCAGCGGGCCCATTCGGGTCGCTCATAGAACCGGCGATTGCGTCCATGCACATGCAGATGATACTGAGAGCGGAGCGTTTCATCCTCCGACACATATTCCAGGAGCGGTGTCGCGTGCAGTGGGGGGCGCCCGATGCACACAATATTAACCTTCTCGATACCAACATTGAAAAGTCGCGCACACGTCGCCTGCATGAGATCGTTGGTAACCTGGTAAATCCCTTTACCAGCCGAAACGACGCTAATGATGTAATCTGTGTTACGCTCCGCGTTATACTCAATACAGTCTTCAAGCACGAGGCCAATGGTTTCGATAGTGCATGTATTCTTTGCATGGACGAAGATATCCCGCTCTGTCAGCGCGTTTACAGCCTCCAAACTACTGACAGCCTCATCAGCCACGGAAACAGCAGGAGGATTTTGGTCTTGCGGGGAAGAGTGGCTCTCTCCCAATGCAGCTGTCTCTCCAAGTGACTCCTTTACCTCTTGCAGCACACGCCGCACAAGCACATCGCACTGAAGTTCTACCTCCTCTGCCAGAGAGGCGGCATGGTAGTCGCGCGGTATTTTCATCATATGCACAATATCAACGTGCCCCTTAATGGTGTACTGCGGATGCAGCCGGCCCACCATCACGATACGAATGCGTGGGGAGGCCTTGTGCTTTGGTATCTGTTGAACCAAATACTCTCCCAAAAACGTCTTAACAGCCCAGGCAAGTGTGATGCGGCCATCCATGGTCGGATTCCACATCTCTTTGGATATCTCAAGAATAATAAAGTGTACTGCAGAAAGGGAGCGGAAGTTTACAAGGGTCGTGTCAGTTACAAGACCACATCGCACCCGACGATATCGGCATTCGGTCCCTTCGTCACTTTGTTGTTGATGTTGCTGCTGTACAGAAGGGCGCTGTGACGCGTTAGCCTTTGTTGCCTCCCATGCCACATCGCCCCCCTTGGAGGCAGCGTCAGAATCAAGCGTGGCCTTAGCAACGTTGTTGCAGATGCTGCTATTGGCATTGGCAGCAACTGTACCACTGTCAAACTGGTGAGCATTCACGGGCGACACATCTGGTGCTGTTGGTGTCACGCTGCGGAGCATTTCATCCACCTTCATGGAGAAGCCACAGAGACGAACCTCCTGTCCCTCGTAAAGAATGTAGCCGCGCAACGCCTCCGAGACTAGAAACATGTCTGCACGTGAAATGGACTGTTCCTCAAACGACAACTCCACATGTGAGATTCCGAAACGGTCCCGCACCTCGTCGTACGTCGGCACAACACGCGCCAGCGCCTTTCCTTTTGTGATGTCGTTGATAAATTGGCTTTTATTCGTCAGCGACTGATGCACGCTAATAGCACCATTTGTGTGCAACGCGTCTCTCTCCCCAAAGCAGTACGCACGGCAGACCCAACTGTCGTACCCAGGCATAGACGTGGGAGCTGCGGGCCAGGCGTTGGGGCACGTCTGATGCCCATCTGGCATGAGAATCTCGCCGCCTGTCAGTGACCCTGCATGTGCGGTACCCGGCGAGCCGGCAACGTCCAGCGAATAAGACGTCGGCACACGAAATGCTCCACGATCCACGCAGGACGACGACACGGATGCCGTTACCTCTGATGCAGCGGCACCGTGGCGCTGTGTGACATTCCCAGCGACAGTGTTCTTCCCACCAGCACTGCTGCTCCCGTTGCCGCTACCGCTGCCAGGGACGCCGCAACCGCCATCGCCGCTGTTGCTGCTGCTGCTGCTAGGCACGCAGAGCTCGATCACTGCCTCTGTGAAGCCGTCCGGTGCGGATGGCATAGAGAGGCCGTAGTTCTTCGGGTAGTAGAGGAACGGTGCCTGCGAAAGGCTGTCGGTATGCGCGCGGAAGACGACTGTGACCGGCGCATCGCTCTGCCCAGCCGAACTCCCCTTCGCCGACTGTCGCTGCTTGCGGCGCAGCCCCACACTCCTCATAGTGTGCGTGTACCTTCCTATTTCCTTCGGCTTAACCCGCACTCACTGCAGTTGTGGATGAGAAGGCGCAAGGATGAGAAAAAGGACGTGTACGCGGGGGCGAAGCTGTGCAGCACCCCATGCCTCCGCCACGACAGGGCAGGTGCGCCTGTCGGCTCTTGTGCAGAAGGTTCAGCAAAGGTAAATACAGCAGAGGTGGGCGCCGCAGTGGCACAACCCAAGCAACAGCACCACTCAACGCACGAAAGGAGGCAGAACTCAACGAAGCACAGACATAAAAAAACTTCGGCCAACACGTAGTTCAGATACGACTGGCGAAACGCAGAAGCACCAACACACACATCCTCAGAGAGAGAGAGAGTGCGTGTGTGTGTGATTCAGCAGGCAAGTCAAAAAGAAACGAGCAAGGAAGAAAAACCTCCACAACATGCGAGCGCATTGCATATCGACTTCTCCCACCCACCTCTCTCTCTCTCTCTCTCTCTCTCTCTGGCCAGCAGGTCATCATGCATACACTCTCTTCTCATAAACGGTCTATTTTCAGTGCGCACTCTTTTCCCACGCCTCGCCTGTTGAACGCAATCTCTGCTCCTCCCCACTCTCGCAACTTCTTCCGGGCTATTTCCATCATCACTGTTATCATCACTGGGAATCACTTGGGCCGGCACGCACACTCCTCCTCCTCCTCCTCTTTCTCCTCCTTTTCATGACATGGTCTTTTTCTTCTTGTTGTTCTCTCGTCTCGCATGCGCACGCACGAAGCAGTCTTCAGTGTCACACGTTCACCTGGATACCGCGCAGCATACGCACGACCTTGTTACTCACCTTCCGGTTTGGGTGCCCATCAAGCCGGCGCCGCATCTCCTCCACGAGCAATGACACGCGCCGATCATACCCCTTCTCTTCCTGCTGCTGTTGCTGTGGCTGTTGTTCACCCTCCTCCGACAACAGACCTGCTGTTTCGGTAACGGCTCGCATTGCCTCATTGCGGGACAACACCAAGATGCGGATGTGAAGCGCAAGTGGGACAAGCAGCGGGGTGAATGCCGAGAAATCCAATGCGCGTGGAACCTCAATCATCATCCTGGGCGCTTCACCACCATTCCTCCGTCGCTGCTGCTGCTGCTGCATCCGCCGCAGATATGCCCTGTTTACCGTCCCCAGCGCTGTGATGCAGCGGTATTCAGCGTGGCGCTCCAGTCTGGTTACTCTATCAATTGCAGCCTCTGTGTCTCCAACTGCCATGAAATAGTAAACATAGCAGAGTTCAAGTACAGAGCGAAACAACCAATAACGCCGGCGGTCCTCCGTCGTGCTACACAGAAACTCTTTTCCTTGTAACAGGAGATCCATCACGTACAGGATGCATTTAACCCGCAGACGCCGAGAACTGGCCTCTTCATCCGCAGTGACAGCATCAGGTCTGTGTCCTGCATCCGCGTCCTCGTTGTTGCTGTCGTTACGGTTTCTGCGGTTGAGAGTGAAGTGTCGGGTGCCGTTGTAGTCAGCTGCGGCCTGTGTCAGCCATTCATCACCCAACGGTGTAGGCACCTTCGCCGCCACACCCCATGTGCAGCGGTCCCAGCGCGCCACCTGCGCCTTCCCCACGTTTGGTATCGTCCACTGGCGGAAGGCAAAGTACAGGTTACGTTTCAGCTTATCCAGCACAAAACACAATGTGGCGAACAACTGCGCGTGAGACGAGGGGTCAAGTGCAACGGTTTCCGTCTCCGGCGGTGCATCACCACCATCATGGTGAAGAAAACGCACCACCGCAGCGCCCTCCGCATCCTCATTCTCATTCTCTTCGTTGTCCTCTCTCAGCTCCGGCCCTGACCGCTCCTCAACCTCAGCATTCGCTATCCCTGTCTCCAATGCCGAGTTGATTTCCTGCTCGAAATCACTCTCTTCCAAAACGAAGAAAGCAGGAGGGTCGTTGAAGTCACGCCCGTTGTTATCATCCTCGCTTTCCTGGTCGCTCGTGAGTCTCTCCGCCGAGGAGTATTCCTCTGACGATGTTCTTACATCCCACCCCGCGAGACGGCTCGTTGCAAGTATAAGGAACGGCACACTGCTAAAAACGGAAAAATCCTCCACTTCACTACCGCCGCTAACGATGCGGTTGGCCATCTCCGAGACAGCCTTCATCATGCGCACCGCTTCCACCAGTTGCTGCAGTGATGTGTGTTCGTCCAACGCCTTGGTGACAGTAATGTGTGATATGACGCAGCGTTCATGGGCGTACATGAGTCGTCGGGGTAAACGTGATCGGTTTCGCCGTTGTTCGGGCCACTCCTGCGTTTCCTCCTCGGAACCCTCCTCGTCCTCACTCGCCTCATCGAATGCATCCATTTCATCGCTGCCCTCCCAAGCGTGCGAGCCGGCTACGCTATTGGAAACTGTGCCCGACGCTGGTTGTATTGTGTCTCTCACCAGCGCTGAAAGCAAAGCCACGCCGGGGTCCTCAACTCCTGCATTTCTGAAAATTGGTAAGCGGCGAGTTGTCTGTGGCGGTGACGGGCTCGCGCGGATGTGTCTGCCTGCCTCCATCACTTTGGCAGTGGCGTCAATGCCGGAGGTAACAAGATTCCCCACACGGCGATTGTAGTGAACCACATTCACTATATCTGAATCACCCCGTGTGACGTGCAACAACTTGCCATCTTCCCGGCGCCAGAAAAACACGTTGCCACAATCCCCACCCGTACAAATAATATTGTCATCATCCATGAAGGCCACCTCTTTGAACATTGTTTGCACATTGCGCCGTCCACGCAACTGCACAGCATTGTGGACTGGCACGCAAGGAATATTTCCCGATCCCATTCCAAGGAGCACTTCAATGCTATCCGACTTGGCCAGTTCGGCTTCGTAGCTCTCCGGCATACGGGTAGAGTGCATTGTGTCGAGCCACGGAACCGCGTAGGCGTCTTGGCATCGAAAGTTCACTGCCATAACATCACCGCGCTCACTGAACTGAAGGCCACCTATACCGTCGCTAGACGTCACGTTCGGAATCGACAGTGCGGCGTACGCGCCAAGAAAACCCATGCGCACATCATGCAGGTACACCTTTGACGTGTTCGTGCCGGATACAATAAGGAATGGCCACCGCTCATGCACCCCCAGGACGTTAACCTGCGTCACCTCACGGAGACAGGGGTTACCCACAGCAGGTGGCTCGTTCTCAGATGAGCATGCACGTGTGTCCACTCTATTGATCAGCCCATTAGAGTAGGCAATGTATGCCATGTCTGGCCACCACGGTGACGTCGCCACAGACGAGGCCATTGAAAGAAACCTGGACTTATAATATGGTTGCGAGGTCTCCAAGTCGGTCAGTATCGTCCGGCCGTCGAGTGCGCACGAGAGCACGCGGCCCTCGTTACCGGGTACAAACACCGCGTGGAAGATATTGGCGCGATGCATTGTGCGATATCGTTGTCGCAGCGACCAGTCGCATGTGTCATACAAACACAAGCGCAGGTCGTCAGAGCCTGACAACAGAAACTCTCCTGTTGTGTTTGTTGCAAGGGAGTTGATGCAACCCTCGTGCCCGCCCAGTTCGTGGCCAATCGCAAGCGAGCACGTGTACGCCTCGCTGTAAGTAAACGGTACACCAAGTGACGTGTGCCGCGCGTCGCCGGTGGGCGAATTCGCGGAGCCACTTGCGGAAAGAGGTGCAGCGCGTTTTAGCCGCGTGTGGCTCAGGTACACCAGCGACGTTGCCAGTGGCATGAGTGGCTCCACACGGTATGCCAGGTCCGCCTCATACAACCGAGACGGGCGTAACAGCGCGGCCCTCCACCGTAGCCCCTTGTGGCTCTCCATTTACAGTCAGGCCTTCTTCTGCCTGTGGTTGCCCCGCTGCTGTGGCTGCTACACACCCTCTCCCTTCGTTTTCCCCTTTCTCAGCAGGAAGTGGCTGTGGCACCAGAGGAGAGAGGGAGGGATGGAAGGGGGGTGTTGGAAAACAAAGCATCACTGGCTTTCAGTATTGAGCAACAGACACAACGACTGGCACATATGGCACGCACACACTCTCACTCACTCACTTACTCACACGAAGAGAAATACACACAAATTTGTCGGTGCTGCAGGTCAGGAGGAAGTGCGCTCTAGAGCAAGTGTGTCGCGCAGCATTTGATACGCCGCATTCATGTTCTCCTCCTGCTTCGACTCGAGTTGTTGGCGCCACCGCTGTGCCTCTTCAATTCGGCTCCGCTCCTCTTGCAACTGCCTTGCGTGACTCTCGTCCCGTTCACGCAGTTTACGTTCCAGCTGTGTGAGACGCCGCAGCAAGTCGGCCTCCCGCAAACTGTGCTGGCGCAGCTCCGCCCTCAGATCGCATGTGTGCTGGCGCCACATGCTCGCCTCCTTCACAGACCGCACCTGGCACGATGCAAGTCGTGTGTTAAACTCGAGTACAACCTCTGCAAGGACCTGCTGAACGTCATTAAACCGTGCAAAGATCCACGGTGCTACTGAACTGTCGTTGAAGTCCTCCAATAATGAAACAAGCGGCTTGGCACACAATGTTCGGGTTCCTTTTGCCGTGACCGACGACGCAGTCGGCCTATTCTCCACGAGCTCCTCAATAAAGCTCTCGACGTCGTATGAATTGGACAACGTGAGCGAGTACGTCGAGGAGTGGCTGCAGGAACACGGCGTGCAGCGAATGAGTGCGTGGGCCCCACGAGCCATCAGACGTTTCTGCAGCGACGTGCGCACCTGTTCCTGCGAAAATGGTTCCCATTCTGTCAATGATGTTGCTCGGTTGAGAGCGGCAGAACCAGGAGCAACACTAGTACCAGTGCTGATCGCAGCAGGAGCATCAGTAGGAGTGAGGGGTCCTGCGTACGAAGCTTCACCCTCACACCCAGCGGAACGCATCGGCTCCCCACACACGTAGCAAAAGCACACCCTATTTGGGGGGACTGCAGTAGCTCTCACCTGCACCGCTGAGAGCGCTCCACATGCCTCACATCGCATGAACGGCGGTACCTTTATTCTCGGCGAAATACTCAGTCTTCGTGGATAGATAAAGAAGAAAGAAACGGAGAACCGCAGAGACTGAGGGAGAAACTCAAAGCAGCAACACACAAGGCGCAGAACAGGAGAAAAAAGAGCGTCCCCTCCACACAGATAGAAAGAGAGAGACAGAGAGAGAAAGAGCGTATGTGTGTGTGTGTGTGTTTAAGAGAGAGCAACATTAAAAAAACGATGCTTATACGCAAAAAGACAGACCCACCTGGTATCATTATAGTCCGAATGAGATAAGGACACGCAAAGCAGAAAACTGAACACTAAGTAAGAGCACTATATCTCACCCTATGCAACTACCTTCCAGCCTACCTCACATCTTACACTCCCCTAATCAGTGCTTCGCTACCTTTCTCCTCGCATTCCCTCCACACACCCTTTTCTTTTTTTCAAATGCCTGACACGGTGTATCATCCCTCCTCGTCCAACACACCTTCTGTAAGCTCATCCAGGCGGCGCATGTAGAGTTCAGCCACGTTTTGATGTCGCCGCTCCGACACATTATCGCCACCGCCTCTGTCCCTGCCGCCAGCGTTACCTGCGTCGTTGTTGGCGACCCCCTCCACTGGCGCCGCCGTCGCGTTCAACTGCTCTTCGTGCCGTATATGAAGCAGCAATTCAAGGTTCGCGATGATTGTCTCTAATGCCTCCGTCTTTACCTGTTCGCGCGTGCGCACGGCGAAGAGCACATTGCCGACGCTCAGGCAGGCACCGAAGCGGCGGCGCAGAATTCCCCACTCGTTCTGCGTGATGGACATGGCAACGTTTAGCATCGTCATCATAAAGAGAAGGATAAACAGCATAGTCATGAAGTTGGCGAGAATGGTCACGATGACAAACGCAGAGTTCTCTGCGTTCTCAATAGCTGGGAGGATGGCATCGCCGAACATCATGAAGTAGAGCGCCACAAAGGTGAAGCCCATGTCTGTAAACTCACCGTTGGAGTGAGGTCCAAACACAATGTGGTAGAAAAATGCGAAGCCAAAGAATATGGGCAGCATGCTCATCACGAACTGCAGCAACTTGGGAACCACATGACGCGTCGCCCGGACCATGAAATATACCTGCGGGAAGTAGCGCAAGTACGAAAGCAGATTCACAGAGAGAACCAGGCCAGCTAGGCCCAGGAGAATGTTCTCCGAGACTTCATACGCCTCCGTCAGCGACAACTCCCGCAGCGGCACAAACGACATCGACGCATACGCCACCGTCAAGACGTCACCAGCCAGAGCAATATAGTGCCATCCTTCGCCCCGTGACTGCTGCAGCTGCTGCCGCCACGTGTCGTAGAAGTCTGTGTACGTTGTCTCAGTCATGAATGTGGCAGCGTATCGCACCTGTGATGCCTGTTTTTTTGGGGGGCGAGAGCGCCTCATCCGCTGCAGAAGCCCTGTCGACTGCCATGTTAATGTGTCCCGGGAGTTTGTGGAATTGGATGAGACTTGAGGGGAGCCAAGAGAGCCACTGCTTCCACTGTTGCCATTCACTTCACCATGATTCGTCACTCCGAGAGTGCACAGTGGCTCTTCTTCCTGTGTCGGACTCTGCGCCTCTGAGATTTGCAAACGGTACGCCGCAATGCGCACTAGTGCACGATAACGAAGCACCATATCGAGCAAGGCAAGCAGCATTAGTGCCCCCGCAAGGAAAAAGCGTGGATGAAAGTATGGATCGAGGCGTCTCGTAGTAACACTTACGTCAAGCGACATCTCCACAAGACCACCTGGGTGAAACTTGAATCTTTTCTCAATAGTCCAGTGGTAGATGAGAGTGGAGAAGCCACTGCTCGTCTCGTGGCTATTCGCCATCGCATCCGTCAAGTGTCGCACGAAGGCGCGCAGTCGGATAAACTGCACATTATCCATCAGAGGAAAGATTGCTCCCTCTTCCGTATCATTATCATCAAAATCTTTGCTAGAGGTACGGCAGGGATTGTAGTAGTGCCCGGTGATATCATCATACCGCGGGGTACACGCCCCCTTCACGTATTGATAAGTAACACCATCCCCACTCCTCTTACCCCTTCTGGACAAGCACCTAACACGGGTATTCGTATCAGCATTATTGCAGAGATCATCATCATTGTGCTCGTTTCTCTCATCGTTAGCAAAGGGACCCAGTGGATCCTTCTCCGTCAGCATGAAAGACATGTGACGCTTAGGCGAGGGCCCACGGTGCTCTATCTGGGAGTAAAGGTACGCGTCCACTTCCATCTGTACCGGTTCAACCCAGTCGAGGTTGAGCCCAGAATTTTCAGACCCGCTATTACTCATGTCCTCATTCAAAAATGTGTGAAGGTTGTTGACACGTTCCTGTGAGATCTCGTCGCCCACAACACGACGCAGGACCCCAGGCCCGTCACCACTGTGGGAATAGTAGAAGTACTTCAATTCGCTCACGGAGGTGTCGGATAGAGCGTAATACATTGCCACAAAGTCACGAATGCCTTTTAACACATCTTTGCGGCTGTGCATGAATACGGTTGGCCGCAATATAATGTCTCCCTTGTCCTTCCCGAGATAATCCTTACCCAGGAAGTGGTGAAGCACTGCCTTGCGTTGCTGCTCGCCCCCTTTGGCCTCTGGAGTTTCGTACAGTGTGGTAAGCAGCAGGAAGAAGAGAAGCATGAAACAATTTACGGTCAATTTCCACGGAAAGTGTCCATCGCGCCGCATCTTGCGAATCGGGTCGGTGCAGAAGTCTTCACGAGGGGGCAGGTCATTGTGCCACTCTGCCCTCGCATTGGTATTTGTTGGATTCACGCAAGAAGAAAGTGCGGGGAGCATCTCTCGGTCTGCTGGAGTCCGCTGTTGCTGTTGCTGCTGTGCCCACCCATTGCGTGAGCCGCCGCCGTTTTCAGGTGCTTCAGCGATATTCGGAGCAGGACGCTCATCCGCCGACCCGGCTACTCTTGTTGCTGCTGCTGTTGTTGTTGTTGCCGCAGCAGAGACAGAAACGGCGTGGAACTGGTCAGTCATCATTCCTGTCCTTCTGGGAAAGGCGGCGAAGGACATGGCCCGAAGACCCTACTCCGCAAGCGAAAACAGGTCGCCAGTCGACTCCGGTGATACCCTTTCCCTAGAATCCCCTTGATCGATTTCGCTTTCTCTCTCTCTCTCTCTCTCAGCTCTCTGAGGGGCAATTTTTTTTTATTTTAGCTGTCACCAAGCAGGCGACCGTTGATCTTTGCAAAGAGAGGCACACAAACGAATGGGGACACACGAAAAATAGGAAGCGAGAAGTCAAAACCGCCAGCAGAGAAGCAGTCAAGCAAGATTGGTTCCGCGTCCCGACGACGCTGCCCGAGTGCCAATGAAAGATAACGAGCCCACACACATGCAGCAAACAAGAAAAAACGCAACATGAACAATATATGCATTGCGTGTAACTCTGTGAAGAAGGACAGACAGAACGTTGATGTACGCCCACCGACCGTCCCTCATCCCCCTCCGTATTACCCAAACAATTTCCGCACAGCGTCTTCCTCCGCACTGAAACGGTCGCCAAGATCGGTCACTCTGTAACTCATTAGCAGCTGCTCCTTGCTGAAATAGAGAAACTGCGAGAGGTTCCACTGCTCACGCAGATCGAAGAAATAATCTACTGCCTCGCTTAAGTCATGCGGCACATCGCGTTCACTCGCCCGCGCGTCGACAGCAGCGCGCAACTTTTCTGGCTGCTGCAGCCAATAGCCCGGCCAACTTTCCGCACCACCGCAGCGCCCACCGCTGTGTTGCCACTTGTCGTGGAAGAAGCGCTGCTGATAGCGGCCATTCGCGAAAAACTCACACAGCCAACTCATCCCATAGCGGCACAGCGCAGTGTTGAAGCTCGTGGCCAGTCCAGGGTGCAGGTGCAGCAGCCGACGACACTGGTCTGCTGTGATGGAGTAGTTCGGTGGCCGGTGCGTCCGGCCGCGGAAGCGGTCACGTTCATCATCGCTCTCATGCAGGTAGAACACTGCGCGGTTTGAGGCGTCGGCCAACACATCGGCCCCATTCAGCGCCTGCAAGCCCAGAGGGAACACCGCATCGCCTTCTTGACCAACTTCACCGCCAAAATTCTTGTGGTTGTTGTTCATGCTGCTCCAAGTGCCGCGGTGAGTAGCACGCCACAGGAAGGGATTCGGGCCCCACTGCACATCCCACAACGTGCCCTGGCCCCTAATGAACTCAATAGCGCGTTTCATCAGCACAGCAAAGCGCTCCGGGTCAATACGGATGTTGTAATCCGGCATGTAGTTGCGCAGCCCACGTAGCGGCTGCTGGATCGACACTTCTGACAGCGGAATCGCGTTGTACCACGCGACACGCACCCACGAAATGACGGGCGGAAACCAGTCAATGTTTCCTCCCGTGTTGAAGCGTGGGTCGACGCGGATGATGTCGGGACGCGTCCACCACTCATCGACCCGCGGCATGTTGCGTTGATGCAGATGTGGCGAGTGGTATACGAGGGGCACAGCAAGAAACACCGATCCCGGGTTCATCAAGAAGAAGGTCGTCGCCAGTGTACCCTCGTTGCACACAAACACGTCGGATACAAGCATCATCTCCACCTGCTCGCGGGCGCTGCGGCCGACAACGCTCTCCAGCACGAACTCCACGCGGTCCGCAACTTCGAACCGGGCACGAAGGAACTGCAGCAACTCCTGGCTATTGGCGATGCCGCGCTTGTCTTCCTTGTGACAGAGGGAAACGCGCAACGGGCGTGATGCTGCAGCCACGGAAGACGACGGCAGCCGGTGGACTGGCTGGTGCGCTTGTGTAAGACGGATGATGTATTGCCGAAACGCGTACCACAACGCTGGCGACCCACTCGCTGCATACGCCGTTGTCACCCAACTCCAACTCTTCGTTCCTGTACCCGCCAGCAGTCCACGGTACACACCAGAGGGCAGCATCACATCGTACATCGCAGCACGCCGGGACATATACGCAAAGGCCTTGTTGGAATTAGGAAGCGGGAACTTTGGAAAGTACCTAAATGACGTGACAAGTAGCTGCGCTTCTGGCAACGACTCCGCTAGAAATCGCATCTCATTCGGAAACAGGTGAGCCAAGGTCCGCTGCAGCTCCACATGTCCCCAAAAAAAACCGAACAAATCGCACAAGAGTGTATGGGCAAAGTTCCACGGCGCCACTGTAGGCAGAAAGTACGCCACCAGTATATCGTGGTATGGCACCGAATCCTCAATCTGCCCTTGCTGATGCCGCTGATGCTTTTGTTGTTGTTGTTGTTGTTGTTGTTGTTGTTGTTGCTGCTGAGATAATGGGATCACCGATACGTTGCGCGGACGCCGGCCAAGTACCACAGTGGGGGCATACACAAAGGCCCACTGCGCCTGCCGGCGAAGAGCACTTGCGCGTACCCGCGGCACCTCCAGCGGCCGCGAACTCAGCGAAACCGGCGGCAGCTGCAGTCGCCCCTCCGTCAGTAGTCGTCTATGCGTGGACGTGTTCCGTAGGTAGAAGAAAAACTTGTTCCGGTGTTGATCAAAGTACACAAAGCTGTAGAGGCACGTGCGGTTGTAGATGGGGAAGTAGTAAATGTCAGGAGAACCCCGCACATCTTGCTCATTTAGCTCCGTTCTGTTTAACACAGAAGGCAAGAAGACACCGTTCTGCACCACATCCACCCGCACACCGTCCGCAGGTCCCCCCTCATCCCCAGCAGCAGCACTACCCGCGAGGGGATCCACAAACCGGCTCCCAACGCAGTACAGCGAGGAATACGCGTCGTCCGCGTCTGGCAACACGGCAACTTCATTGCCAGTACGATCGGTGGGCACCGCCTCGTCTTGCCCAGCCAGCCTTGCATCGTCGTCTCGTAGAGAATTGTTGTGACCATCCACAGAAAAAAGCCACAGCAAGGAGGTCGTAGCGGCGATCACAAGTACAACCCGCATAACAAAAGAATGCGAGATCAGACAACGACGCATTGTCTGCCGCAGAGGAATTGTTACAGCCGGCAGCAGCTTCCTCCTCCACCGTCACTCTTCTGTTCTCCCTTGGGCACGATCTGCAGACCGGGAGCAAAAGCAAGCAGATGGAAGACACAGAGATATAAAATAACGTGATTGGGTGTGGGATTTGTTGTCGTTGTTTTTATACATAGGACAAAGAAAAATGCACCTCAGCCTTCTTGTTATGTTAACCAGATATATGTGGACATGATCCTTTCTCATTTCTTCTCCCGATCTTCTTTTTTTTTTTATTTTGGGTTCTCTCTTTCGCTTTCTCCCTTTCTCCTTCGGTGATCACGCCATATCCGATAGCTGTACTTCCTTCGTGCGCCCACGAAAGGATAATATCACACTCATAGAACGACAAAAAGGCCACATTCCAAAGTAATTCTGCAAAAGTAAAGGCGGTCAACACCGATAGAACAGCCCCGCTTCCTTTCCGATCGTAACGGAAGAGACGCAATACGTTTACTGGATATTGGAAGGCCGTGGCTGAGCAGAAGACGTGCATCCTCTGTACAAAGGGGTTCCACCGAAACGTCACGCCGCACCAGCGCGCAAACAGACCAACAAAACCGAAAGAGAGCCTGCAGAGTGTGACCCGCACGTCAATACCCATTTTCCCCCATTTTGTTGTCACCAACTACACGACAAACACCTACCACTAGCAGCAGCAGCAGTGGCAAATCAATGGCAATGCCAATGAGAATCACTGTCCTTCTAGCAACGCCTCCTCCAGGCACTGCTCCTCATGAAAAAACTGATCCAAGGCACTATCGAGGGTCGTCCCATCATCCCCCGTTATTGTTGTTGCACTTCTCACAGTCCCATTTGCCTGACCTCGACGACTTGCACGCACGACCCTCCCCCGCCCCACCGCAGCAGAGCCATCAACCGTCTTTGTTGGNCGTGGTTGTGGTGTACGATTGGTGGAAGTCAACGGCGCCACCACCGGCTCTACCGATTCGCCCACAGCTGCGCCCAAGAGGGCCTCCTCAAGCAGCTGCTCTTCCCCAAAGAACTCATCGAGGACGTCGTCGAGTGGAACACAATCTTTCTGTGAGGCCTTCATATCATGGCTCACGCCGCTGAGCTCTCTCTCTTCCTCTTCCTCTTCCTCTTCATCCTCCCCTTTCTCTTTCTCGTGTCCCGATGTCGCTGGAGCCGCCTTTGCTGCTACCACTACTGTTGGTGTTTCTTCTGGAGATGTCGATTCGGGGACGAGCGGCTGTGCGCACTCGGCACGCGGCGCTGCGGGATTGCAAGAATCATCCTCTTGTGTTACCTCCCGCGCGCTGGCCGTGGGAATGGAGGCGGTGTTGTCCCTTACATGTTTCTCTTGTGTGCGGCTCTTGCGGCCAAGAGCTGCGCGTCGTGGCAGGCTCCTCTTCGCCCACCAGGGCGGCAGCACGCGCAGCAGGACGCCGACCACAACGCTGAACAGCGTCACGGCAAGCAGCTCCGCAACGACACAAGCGAGTCCTGCGGGCTCGAGGCTCGTCCTGTCGATCGCCTTAAAAAAAACAAAATCAAACCCCATGCAGTTGCGCGAAGAAAGAGGGGCAGCCACCTATTCTAACACTTCCTCTTGAAGTGTATGGACACCAAAAGCTCCTTCACACACGAGCAAGGGAGAAAGAAACGAAGGGAGAGATGTCAACCATGAGGATTCACGATTCGAATCCTATGCAGCGCAGTAGTGAGGAAGGTAGAGTCCAACGCAAGATGCAAACAGATGCCGATCTCGTTCACCGCGGCACGAGTTCCTCGCGCTCCTCCTCGCACACCTGCGTTCGTCTGCACACACGCCTGTCATTCCTGCCTGTGTGCATCGCAAAAAAGTTAACCCGAACGCACATGCTCGCGCCGAGGATAAGCATAACAACAACGAGCAGCATCATCCACTGCGCCTCTGCGCCGCTGCCCGTGTGCGCCCCCGCATTCACTGGCGTTGGGACTTCCGGCGGATTTGTTTGGCGACTGCTCACGTTGGTGGAGGCGACACCGTCCTTTCCTTGAACAATGGTGAAAAACTGTTTTGCACTGTCGTTTGCCACGTCAATTAAGGAGCGATGCGGGACCAACACGTAGTCATCCAAGCCCTCCTCCTTGAGACAGAGAAACACTCGCTGCTGCGGCTCGGTGTATGTGACAAAGCTGAACGACCTCTGTCTCCACGAGACATGCATCTTGCCCGTGTCATCGAGGATGTGTCGCCCCGTCTCGCAGCCCCTTGAGGAGGTGGTGAGGAACAGAGAGACGGGCGCAAGCGCGTTGCTCAGCCACACGGTGAAGGGGCGCCCCACAACCGGTTGGTACGGGTCATCGCAGCACTCGGTGCTCACGTCGTACATCAGTGGCTGCTGTAGCCGATACACAAACCTCGCATGCGGGCTGAAGACAACGGGAGTCACCGACGTGTTAAGCGCACGCGCGCGCACAATGTGTGTGCCCGGTCTCTCGAGCACGATGCCCTTGCCGACGTGCACCTGCCACGTCGCGCTGGTCGGTGGCGGCGGCAGCGCACCGCTGGTGCCTGCGGTGGACAGCGTCGGCATGTACGTTACAAGGAAGAGAATACTGATGTCGCGCGACGGTGTTGTGTTGGCCGCAAGCGACAGCGTCACTACGACACGGCCACGCTGCTGTTGCCGCCCGCTCGTCGGCGGCGTCGCCACTGGCGCCAGCAGAAGGGCTGGGGTTACGTTATACTCCGCAACGCTCACCTCACTCGGTGTCAACACGCCACCATCGGGGACATACTTGGAGTACGACACAGCCCGCACAACATGGCGGCCAGGTTTGTTCAACACGAGCTCTGCGCCGTCGACAAAGCGGTCGCTGCGGTCAGTGGGCGTGGTGCCGTCGAGCGTGTAGTACGTGTACGCATGTGGCTGGTTGCGCGTAATGGTGACACACACCTCGCCGCTGTACACCCCGGAGGGCGGCTCGATCGTCGGCGCCTCCACCTCAATCCCCGCAGCATAGAGCACCAACGGAGCGCAGCAGCAGCAGCAG